CCCTTCTTGGCCTTCCCCCTCCTCCTCCTCCCCTTGTCGCTTTGATCCTGCGGTCACTCTCCCCCTCTGAATCTGGTACTCCCAGAAGCCGGGCCCAGAGCGACCTCCAGTGTGCACGACAATATGACCGGGGGAACGACCGCGCCCACAGGGAGCACGTCGTGTGCAGATGCACGGAGGGGCGGGAGACCAAGCGAGGCCGTATGCACCGCCAGCGCGCGTGGTGCTCCCACATGCATGCACATGCATAGACCCGCACACACCCACACCCGCACCCACATGCGCATGGGCCGAACGCCCTGCTGCCAAGACTCGGCCATGAAGGTCGACAAGACACAAACACGCGCAATCATACACACTGACAGAGAGAAAGAGAGAGAGATAGAGCGAGGATTAGCTAGAAGGAGGTCCATAAAGAGAAAGGCACACACACACAGAGAGAGAGAGAGGGCGCACCAAGAGGAGCCTCATGCGCCGAAGTGTCGACAGCAGCCGGAGGTGATGTGTCCCCATGCCTCTTGCTCCGTCTGTGCCGGGTGTGCCCTCTTGTGGGGGGCATGGCCTCAACGGCCGACATGTGCTCTCGCCGCGTGCGGTCCTCGTCGGTCCTTCCTCCCCTTACCGGCTACGACCCACCACCCTCCGACCTCCAGATCGCCACCAAATAACACCCACCCCCTTCTCCCACACCACTGGCGCGCGCGCGCGCGCGTGCGCGCGTGTGTGTGCGTGTGGCGGAGGGTGCACATGCGTGTGTGTATAAATGTCTGTGTGTCTGTGTGTCTGTGTATGTGCATGTCTGTGCATGTCTGTGCGGGCGCATGTGTGGCTGCCATGCCGGCGTGATGATGGATAGGCGAACGACCCATTGCGCAACCGGTAGCACAAAGAAGAGAGCCGGGGCGGGGCATTCGGTGTCTGCACCATTGGCCAGCGGGCCTGCCTGCTCTGTCGGTAACCATGTCTGCACATGCCACCAGCGCTGCCGGGCGGTGGCATTGCCTGCTCTCTTATTACTGTGGCCGAACTCTCTCCCTCTCTCTCCCTCGCACTCTCCTTCTCTCCCTCTCGCTCTCCCAACGCGTGCTCTCCTGGGGGTTGGTGGCCTGGCCGATTGCACCACGCTTCGGGCTCCTCCCCCCCCCCCCCCCCCCCCCCCCCCCCCCCCCCACATGTCTTGCCTCTCGCCTCCTCCTCCTCCGCTGTCTTTCCCGCCCCGCCACATCCCCTCTCCCTCCTCGTGCTCCGTGGTGGGGCATTTCCACTTTCCCTCCCCCTTGCTCGCATACGGTCACAGGCTTGTGTGTAAAGGCAGCAGCAGCAGCAGCAGCAGCAGCAGCAGCAGCAGCAGCAGCAGCAGCAGCAGCAGCAGCAGCAGCAGCGGTAGCGGTAGCAGCGCTCTGACGTTGGGACAACTTCCAAGGTTCCCTCCCCTCCTATCGGTGCCGCCTGCACACGCACATGCACACCCGCATGTGGGCGCACATCTTCCAGCTTCTCGTTTGAGGCTGTGTGTGCAGTTTCAGCCACTCGAAAAGGGAGGAGGCTTTACCTCGATAGTGTCGCCATCCCCCCCCGCCCACCCCCCCTAACGTCGCGCGGCTGTGCACCCGCCCGCTGTGTCGCCCGCACCACGCCCTGTCGCTCCTTTATCCCACCCACACCCGTCCACCATCTAGCATGTCTCCCCCTCCCTTCCCTTCCCACCTCCCCGCCAGCTAGCCGTGTTTAACACTCCGTCTCTCTTTCTCACTTCCGGATTGCGTCCGCTCGCACAGTTGAAGGGTCGCATACCTCCCCCTTCTCCGCCCTCAGCCCCCCCCTCTCCCGGTCGTTGGTCTCTTCCCTCACCGGCTCCTTTCCCTCTTCAGTACGACCACAGTCTCCCTCCCCCCCCCGCGCGCGCGCGCTCTCTCTCTCTCTCTTGCTCTCGCGTCAGTCCCCTCTTCTGCGCTTCACCAGGCCACTCACTCCTTCTCTCGCCCCTTCCCCATCAGCTCCCCTTCCCCCCCCAGAGATAGGCTCAGTACCGCCTCCGGGTTCAGCCGCCTTCCGCCACCATGGGTAACAGCTGCTCCAAGCCGACGGACCCCGGTTCCGAGCAGAACCGCATCATCGAGAAGCAGATCAGCATCGACGGCCGCCACATCGAGAAGGAGACCAAGCTGCTGCTGCTGGGCGCCGGTGAGTCCGGCAAGTCCACCATCATGAAGCAGATGAAGATTCTCCACCAGGACGGCTACACCCAGCCCGAGTGCGAGGCCTTCCGTGAGATCGTCTGGTCCAACACCATCCAGTCCATGCAGGTCCTCTGCCGTGGCTCGATGTCCCTGATGCCGCCCATTCCTTGGGTCTCCAAGGAGATGGAGGTACGCCGAGCACATGTCCACCCTCCCGCCCCTGCCTCCCTGTCTTCCCACTCTCATCTCTCTCTCTCTCTCTCTCTCTCTCTCTCCCCGTTTCCCGCCTCGTCACTCATTCTTGCTCTCTTTCTCCCCCCCCCTCCCCACAGGAGAAGGCCGAGTACCTGATGAGCCTGCCGGCTCAGGGCGAGGACTTCCAGTTCTCTCCGGAGATCGCCGCGGTCATCAAGGAGCTTTGGGCTTGCCAGACCATCAAGGATGTCTTCGCCCGCTCGTCTGAGCTCCAGCTCAACGACTCGGCTCAGTACTACTTCGATGCCATCGACCGCCTGGCCAACATGTCCTACATCCCCGACCTGCAGGATATCCTTCGTTCTCGTGTCAAGACCACGGGTATCTCGGAGATGCGCTTCAGCTTCAAGGACATGAAGTTCCGGTATGTCCCCCATCCCTGATGTGTTTTCCACCCGCCGATGTGTCTCTCTCGGCCTCTCGGCCTCCCGCCCCCTCTGCCCACGCCCATCTGCTTTTGCCCTCTTAAGGTTCCGGCCCAGCTTGCTAATGTCTTCTCCCTCTCCCTCTCCATAGTGTGTTCGACGTCGGTGGTCAGCGCTCCGAGCGTCGTAAGTGGATCCACTGCTTCGAGGATGTCCAGGCCGTCATGTTCTGCGCCGCCCTCTCCGAGTATGATCTCTTCCTGCGTGAGGATGAGGATCAGAACCGCATGCTGGAGGCCCTCACTCTTTTCGACAATGTCTGCAATTCGCGCTGGTTCGCCGAGACCTCCATCATGCTCTTCCTCAACAAGGTCGATCTCTTCCGCGAGAAGATTGGCCGCGTCCCCCTCAGCAAGACCTTCGAGGACTACAAGCGTATGGCGACCCTTCCCCTTCTTCTTGTCTTTTCCTTCTCATTGTCATCGGTTACGCACACCACTTCCCCTGCTTCACAGCAACTGACACACTCCTGCCCCCCCCCCCCCCTCCCCCTCCCTCCCCCGCTCGCTCGCTCGTTTGCCCTCTCTTTCTGTCCCTCCCTTTGACAGATGGTCCCGATCCCGACAAGGCCGCCGAGTTCATCTCTCGCAAGTTCCTTGACATCAACAAGACCCCGGAGAAGAAGACCATCTACCCGCATCTGACCTGTGCCACCGACACCGAGAACATTCGCTTCGTGTGGGCCGCCGTCAATGACATGGTTGTCCGCACCCAGCTCCGCAAGGCCGGCATGATCTGAGCGTGCATCGCCACCAGCCCCATCCTCCTCCTCCCCCTCTCCCTCTTTCCCACACGCGCGCACGCACACGCACACGCACACGCACCCCTCCCCCCTCCTCGCACTGCGGAGGGGCAGACCACCCGAGAAAACCATGGGTATGTGTGTGTGTGTGTGTGCGTGCATACGTGCGGATGCAGGGATGCAGGGATGGAGAGCAGCAGGACGAGGCAGAGGGCGGCCGCGACAGAGGGGAAGGAGGAGGACACAAGCGCGAGGATACTTACAGACACATGCTTGCTGTTGGTGTGTGGTGCTACCTGTGGATGTGCTACACTCTCCTGTGTGGGTGTGTGTAGCGCCTCCTCCTCCCACCCCTTCCTGCACATGGCCTCTCCCTCCTCGCGTTCCACCCAGTCCCGTCCTATGGTCCCTCCCCCTCTCCCCCTCTCCCCGGCGCCATGTCCTCCCTTCGTCTTCTCCCGTCTTTTTCTCTTCGTCTCTACATCCTCCTTCCCACCGCTTTCCCCCATTTGGCTCAGTTTTCCCCAACTCTGGGTTGGTGGTGCTTTCTCTCCTCCTCTTCCTCTTCCTCTCCTTTGGTTGTGTGAGTCCCCATGCCAGCATGCGACTCCCCCTTCTCCAAAGAGGCACGCGCGGAACAGAAGTGGTGGGCGAGAGGCCTTCCCTTCTTCCTTCCCCGGCAACATTCCCCTCCGTCGTCACATTTCATCTATACAGCCGATGGCCGCCGGCTGGGGGCACAGACACGCACCTCTGCTGCACGTGCTGTCCCCCGCCTCTCCCCTCCCCCTCCCCCCCCCTCACATCTCCCCTCCCCCCTCGGTGTGGTGGCACCCACAGAGAATCTCATCGCCGGCCCCGTGTGCCGATGCTGCTCCTCTCTGCTCTCCACAAATGCGACTCAGGGGGAGGCCCACAGGAGGAGAGATGTAGCGGAGCAAGCTACGTGTGTAGCTGGTGCAGATCACAGCACGCACTTTCCTTGCCCCACCCGTGCTACCTCTCACCCTCCCCTCCCCCTGGCGACATGTGCGCACATGTGTGCGGTCGCCATTTTGTCTTCCCCCCCCCCTCTCCCTCTCTCTCTCTGTTCCTCTCCCTCCTATCCTTCTCCGGAGTTTACTTTTTGATTACACAAAAACTGCCATTTATCCTGTCCCTCCTGCCGCCGTTCCCCGCCTCGCACCCTGTGGTGTGATGGCTGTGGTGGTGGCATCGTGGCGTGTGTGTTTGTGTGTTTGTGTCTGTTCCTGACGCGGTAGCCATGGCGGCAAGTCCCTTGCTTTTCCTGCGCGCCTCCTCCCCTTCTTCTTCTTCTCCTTCTCCTGTCTGAGGACGTTCGCAGGGGGCATCGGGCCGAGGGGACCTGGTCTGAGTCCTACCCCTCTCGCTTCCATTTCTCCACCATCACATTGCACGTCCGGAATAGCAGGTTTGCGAGCTGGCAAGGGGCGAGAAGAGGGAGTCGCGGGGGAGGAGGGAGCCAGAGCGAGAGCGGGAGAGAGAGATGCGCGGTGCATGAGCACTTGTCTCCTCTTTTTCAGCTCCTCTCCACCCTCGCCCTCCTGCTCCTCCCCCTGGGCATATCCCCCCCTCTCTCCCCCCCCTCTCTCTCTCTCTCTCTCTCTCTCTCTCTCTCTCTCTCTCGACATTTCTCCTTCCCCTACACCGGGCTCTTCCCGCTTCCCTTGGATGTCCCTTGCCTGCTAAGCTTTTTCAGATACTCTTTACCCTGTACTTCCCCCCTCATCCCTCCCTCTCTCTCTCTCCCCCCCCCCCCCCACGCATTCGCCGGCACCCCCAGCCTTCGTCCCAAAGAATCAATTTTAAACTTTCCGAGTCAAAAAAGCCCTCAATAAAAACTTTCTTCCGATCCCGTCGGTTCGTTCCTCTTCCTGTTTGCTCTTCGTCAAATGCCCCCGGGGAAGAGAGATATCTCGGTTCTTTCTTTGGCGGGGCATGAGCCAGAGCGCAGACCTTATTATGGTGTTGTGTCGACAAATGCATGGAAGGTCGGCCCTCTCTGCTCGTGTGTGCATGATGCTCGGCAATTGCAAGAACGCGGCAGCGGAACAAACACCCGGACAGAGAGAGAGAGACCCTCGGAGTTCTACGGTTACGGCGGAATGGCCAGGGGAGGGCACTCTCAAACAGTGCGATCTCCGCTCGGTGTTTTCTGTCCTAGGGAGGGAGGAGGGGGGGGGGGGGGTGTCGCACGAAAGCAAGGAGCCCGGAAACTTTGTCAGAAGCGAGGGGGCTGGCTTCCCTCTTTTCCTCTGTGACTCTTGTCGCTCCCTCTCTCCCTCCCTCCCTCCCGTCTTCAGTCATCGACACACACGCACACACTTTCCTGCTACAAGCATGCATGTTGATTTAGTCAAGACCAGAGGTAGGAGGCGGGCAATAAAAGGGGGGCACACATCTCGCGTCCCCATTTCCGCGTTCGCTCGCCAATTGATGGGTGGTCGTCTCTGTCCCCCTTCCCCTGCCATGGGGGGACAGCATCACGGAGAGGCGGCTGCCACACACGGTCTTGTCGCGCATAAAAAAAAGCGCGGTTCTGCCTGGATGGGCGACAGGTTGGTGTTCTTAGATTTCCGACCACCGAGTCGATATGAGATCACGCCACCGTGTCACGGGAGGAATGGCATTAGAAATACCATTGATGGTATTTCAAAGGGTCCGCCGATGCGCGCCAATCGCTCATCCGCCCCGCCCGGCTCCGGATGCCCCTTTGCCCCCCGCCTCAGGCCGAACTTCCTGCGCTGTCTGCGGGCCGAACGGCTGTCGGAAGGCAGACCAAATGATCAGCCTAGGGCGCGCGGTGCGGAGATTCAGCCAGTCTTGCGGGGGAGGCACCCAAAAGCCCCCGGGCCAATCCATGAGAGCAACATGTGTTGTTGCCCACACAGGAGGGTCGGTTGATACCTGGATGGGCCGCCCTCGCATTGTGTCCTCCACCCCCCCACTCTCGGGTGAGGGAAGGGCTGCAGATGACGCGCCTTGCTGAGGGGGCCGCACGTGCCAATGTGCGAGGGATGGTGGTGTCGCACCGAGCTTGCGCCGACCTGCCGCCAGCGTCTCGCCGCCTCTCTGTCTCTCTGTCTCTCTGTCTCTCTGTCTCTCTGTCTCTCTGTCTCTCTGTCTCTCTGTCTCTCTGTCTCTCTCTCTCTCTCTCTCTCTCTCTCGCTCTCTCTTCGTCTCGCTCCGCTGCTCTGCTGCTTCCTCTTTTCCGCCCGTGCACGGCTGTGATATTCCACTGCGCCGGGTTCATTATGTGCGTGTCCTTGAGATTCACCTTTGGACTCACTCACACACAGACACACGCGTAGAGAGCCACGCTTGCCTCAGACTGGGCGGCTTGCTGCCGGCCGAAATGGCGCTCTCTCCGCCGCGCCTTAGTAACCCTAGCCATCTTCGGCGAGGCCGCCTTGTTGCCTGGCCTGCCCTCGTCCTGGGTGGTGCGTGCGTTGGATCAGGGCCGGGTTCTTCACCCCCCCCCCCCCCCCC